CCCTGGCGAGCCCCTTTGACCTGTTCTCTTGTCTTCCAGTGAGCTGGTCCCCATGGCCGATCACATGATGATGTCCCTGAGCCACGGAGCAAACGGGCTCCAGAACTACCGCCTGGGCATGAATGGGCTGCAGGGGCCCCCGCAGCACGGGCAGCACGTGTTACGGACTCTACCTGCCACCGGGCAGATGATGCAGTACGGCGGGGCCGGCATGGACGGGGCCATGAGAGCACGACCCAGCATCAGCGGGCCCATGGGCCACCACCAAATGCCCAGCGCTATGATGTTCAGCAGCCCCAGCCAGCAGCAGCAGTACATGGGATCTGTGGGCACTCAGCAGCTCATGGCCAGCATGCACCTACAAAAACTCAACACTCAGTATCAAGGCCACCCTCTGATGGGCATGAGCAATGGTCCTATGGGAGCAGGTGCACAGCAGTATAGGGTGGGCCCCACCCAGCACCCTGGCATGCAGCATATGCCCTCGCCGGCTCTGACTTTGAATATTATGGACACTGATCTCATAGATGAGGAGGTTTTGACATCTCTAGTCTTGGAGCTGGGTTTGGACCGGATTCAGGAGCTGCCTGAACTCTTCTTGGGACAAAACGAGTTTGACTTCATTTCGGACTTCGTCAGCAAACAACAGCCCAGTGCCATCAGCTGCTGAAGGGCTTCACATTCAGTCCTTGTTCTTTTGTTGGTTTTGATTTTTTTTTCCCCTCCCCCACCCCTTTCTTTCCCTTGCCCCCCCACAGTTCCTCCTCTTGCCCCTGTCCCTCCCATGCTCCACCTCCTTAAACTTGACAGACAATCATTGGACAATGATGGCTTGCACTAGATTGCTTGTATTTTTTTTTTTTTTTTTTTCCCTGTGTGGGGGCAGCCTTTCTTGCTTTTAAGGGTGGGGAGAAGAAGGGGAAAGTGTTTTGATGGACTAAAATGCAGACTGAGTGGTCTTGGGTTTGTGTTTTTGTTTTTTTTGTTTTGTTTGTTTTTTTTTTGTTTTTTTGTTTTGTTTTTTTTTTAGTCGTCCCAAATGGCATTAAAAGGATTTCTGTCTCCGGTAGAAACAATGGACTTGTGACTTTCCGTAATTAAGCTTCTAACTGCAGGAGGCAGAGGCACAGCTAGCTGGGTTTGCCTGAGCACTCTGAATTGCCAGTGAAGTTGACAAAATCATCTCTGTGCCTGAGCTGCTGCTGTCTCACCTTGCAGAGAAGGGGTAGGGCTTGGCTTTTGCTGTCAAATTGTTATGATTTTTTTTTTTCCTCCATAAAATCAAATCTCTCATTTTCCCTTTGTCTCTGAAAGCTAATAGGTTTTGAATGGTCTGTACTTCTAACTTGAAAAGGGATCATTATTTATGCCCTCCATTAGTTCTGACCATTTTTAGCAGCATACTCATCTGTAAAGCTAGTAGGTGGGTTGTTTTTAGGCATAAAGTGGAGCTAGACTACAGCTTTAAGTCTCATACCTCTGAAACCAAATGCAATCCATGTCACTATATAATCCCTGATATAATCTTTTATTTATAATTCCCCCCCCCCCCACCAATGATTATTTATTTGCAAGGGCTCCGTTTGCCATTTGACTTTGAGACTGTCAGGGGAATGACAAAAAGAGTACTGCAGCTTTAAGATGATCATGGCTGTTTGAAAACTAGTCCAGCAATTTTTAAAAGCCTTACAGACTGTTTCAACAGCAGAATTGTCATGAAAATGTGGGACCATGTAAATGCAGCACCTGCCCTGATGTAATAAAGGGTGACTTGGTTTTTAATTACCTCTGTCAGAAAAGGTAAAATGTTAATGCTAGCTGGTTTTTGTTTCCCCTTCTGTCTCTTGTTTCCAGGTCCTTTGCAAAGTAGAAAGCTAACTGGCAACTCCTAGTTGCTACTGCCCCCTGCTGCTGATGGCACATAGCAGCACATCACTGCTGATTGACTTGGTGATTTAATGTACAGTACAGACAAAAAAAAAAAAAAAATTTTTTTTTTCCTTCAAATAAAAGCTAAAGCCTCATCGACCTTCATGTTTTGGTGGTGGTGTCTGTCTACCCAGCTGTGCTCAGGGCATCATTGGCCATTGGCAAATGCTTTCTTACAAAGTTCTTCCCACCGGTGGACTCTTGATTCAGGCTGTGGCAAATCTGGCTTTGCTGTATTGGTATTTGAATGAAGGATATACTACTGAAGCTTCCCAGAATTACATAAGCCTTTTAAACGGAGCATGGTTTAGATGAAGGGACTCCTACATCCCTGGTAGCTACCTTTTTTTAAGAGGGCGAATTCTTGTTTGACCCACTCTAAAATGTGGCTTGCACTCATTAGCATTGGCCATATGCCATTGGATATGAACTACTGGTGAATTGCTTGTCCTCCCCTTTTTTTTGTGGACTAAGTCAATACAGACTCTTGTTGGTACTTCTTAGGCTGGAGAGAGAGGCTCCCTGACAGCTCTGCTGACAAAAACCCTTAGTGTGGAAGTAGTTATACTATCAAAACTGTAGCTATTGGTGTAGGGTTCTTTCTGGTCTTGCAAGGGTGCTCTTATTATACTGGGTACCAAGTTCATCTACACTAGAAGCTCCTTGCTGGTACAGTCTGTATTCTGATGATAAAGCTTTTCTGATGCAGACATGGCCTTTGACTCCTGCAGTTAATGAAAGGGGCTATGGTGTTTTTTCCTGAAGAGTTTGCTTCCCAGTGAAAACCGCAACACATTCATGGAGATAACCTGCCCTGCCCCAAAACAATAAAATGAGAGCCCTGGGTCCTTGCATGTCTTTCTGCAAACAGTCACTTTTACTCTACAATTCCCTCTGCCAATTCTTCTAAATGTATTTACTACCTGCTATCAAGTGGAACAGCATGCCACACCATTACCTGGAATACTGTAGTAACTGGTAGTTGCTACTATAATGCTCAGCAATGGGAAAAAAATGTTTTGTCTTTCCTGGTTTAACTGAATGCTAATGAAGAAGACCCTTCTAAGTTTAACCCTTTCCCCCCAAAAAAACAAACAAACGAACACTGACTGCATGGCTAAGAGCTTAGCTATGGACAGGTGTTACATTGCAGTATGGGGATGTGGTGGCAGCACCACAAAAACTTGATGAGAAGAAGGGTGTACAGGTGTTCTAGTGACATGGCTGGAGAGCTACACAGCCATCTCAAGGCTGAACCCTCCAGCCAGGGGGTGATAGTGGGAAGCACCTTGGCTCCCCATGGCCCCAAGAAAGCATGACCATTGACAGCTGGGAAAAGAGACAGTCTATTAATAATCAGCTGGCATCTGAAAAGCAGCAGTGTCCAAGGAGCTTTGCCAGCAGATTGAGAGAAGTGATTATTCCCCTTTATTTAGCACTGGTGAGGCCACATCTGGAGTACTGTGAACAGTTTTGGGCCCCCTGCTACAGAAATGATGTGGACAAATTAGAGTCCAGCAGAGAGCAACAAAAATGATTAGGGGGCTGGGGCACATGACTTATGTAGGCAGAGGCTGAGGGGACTGGGCTTATTTAATCTAGAAAAGAGAAAACTAAGGGGGGATTTGATAGCAACTTTCACCTGTGTGTTGGTTCTTTTGTGATGGCTTAAAGGGTGTTCTTCCCAACAGAATATGGACAGACATTACATCTTAGTTGTGGGATCCTATGCTACTTTAACAAAATAGTGATATCATTGTATTGCAGGGATCTGCTTAGTTTTTTGCAAAACACTTGAAGTTACTGGAAAAGGATAAATTGGTTGGTCATTCACCTCAATTCTGGTTTGTGGGAGTAAGTCTTTGACATCACCTTAACTCCAATTACTACATCAGTTTTCTTAAAAATATAATTTTGCATGTAAATTTAGAGGAATGTATGACCTTTAACATCATCAGTGGCACTTCCTATACTTAATGTTTAAGAATTCTCATAGATTTAAGAACTGACGTAGACAATTATGATTATCCAGTCTGACCAACATAAGAGAATTTCCTATGGTGGGGGAATGGAAGTTGAGCAAGAAAAGAACTTGAAGCCTTTGGCCTCAAAAACCAGCATGTGTTGAAGCTCAGTGGGTCAGGATTTGGGATAAACAAAATTTAAGAATATGTTGGTTTTGCTTCTAAAATTTTTTTAAAAGTGTTGTCTGAACACAGTTATATTTGAAAGTATCCACCCCATGATTTACCACTGATTTCAGTTGCTGTATCTAGGGGTGGAAAGGAAATTGTTCCTTTGCTTACTGAAACTGTGGAGCACTTGTGGTGCCAAGCCAATGGACCCCAGCTGGGCTAAATTCTGCCTATCCATTCCCTCAATCTCTCTAGGGATTCTTCTTATGGAAACTAAGCCATCAGCTTGGGAATCAGACAGGTGTAAAGAAGGCTTGGAAATGCTGTGCTGCCCCAGGTTCTCTCTCTTACAGGGTGTCAAGCATCTGGCCTGTGGAGCCATATGATCCAGCCCACGGGTCTCAGACTAACCCCAGGCATCACATGGCACATGTGAACCCTGGCCCTGTGCACTGCATGCAGCCCATGTCCCGGACTGATCCCCTGTGCTCTGTGCAGCACCGGATCCAGCATGCACACTGCATGCAACACAAGCCCCAGAGTGGGGCCAGCACATGCAGCATGCCATGGACAGGCTGGACCCAGTGCCACAGGTACTATATGCAGGATGGGGAACAGCCCAGCAACCCTCATCTGCCCCTCAGGGTGGGATGAGTGTGATGCCCCTATCTTACATATTAAAATACAGAGCAGCTTCACTTCAGGTGTGTGTTTGCCAGTACTAGCTCAGTTTCTAATGCACAAAAGGAGCCTTGATATTTTGGCTCCTATGACCGTCAATGTGACTTATGTTTCTAGATGCCTGAATCACTCTGACAAATTTGAATTAGACTCCTAAATCACTTAAGTGCATTGGAAATTTTAACCTAGTCTCAAAAATTATTAAAATAAACTCAGCCCTACATTCTCAAGGCCACCACCTTATGTGGCAACTCATCACCATCCTGGGTAGCCAGGATGTGAATACAGTCCCCTGCAAGGAGAACTGAAGTATTGCTCAGTGCAGTGGCTACTGTTGAGCCCTCTTAACCTGCTTTTTGCAGTGTCACAAAGTTAAGCAGGAAGGGGAAACCACACAGTTTACTAGGGAGGGACAGGCTACAACTAGATCTGAGAACTAGAGAAACCAGCAATATACCTACAAGCTGGGGAACTCCCTTCTCATCAGCACAGAGGCAGAAAAGGATCTTGGAGTCATTATTGATTCCAAGAGGAACATGGGCCGCCAATGTGAGGACATGGTCAGTAAGGCTAACCGCACCTTGTCATGCATCCACAAATGCATCATGAGCAGGTCCAAGAAGGTGATCCTCCCCTTCTATGCGACATTGGTCTGGCCGCAGTTGGAGTACTGCATCCAGTTCTGGGCACCGCACTTCAGGAGGGATGTAGACAGCATTGAGAGGGTCCAAAATAGGGCCATTCGCATGGTCAGGGGGCAGCAAGGCAGGCCCTGCGAGGAGAAGCTATGGGACCTGAACCTGTTCAGCCTCCACAAGAGAAGGCTGAGAAGGGATCTGGTGGCCATCTATAAACTTACCAGGGGGGACCTGCGGGGAACAGGAGAGTCCCTGTTCCCTCGAACACTACCAGGAGTAATGAAGAATAACAGCCACAAGTTGACTGAGTGTAGGTTCAGACTAAATATCAGGAAGCATTACTTCACAGCCAGGGCGGCTAGGATCTGGAACCAACTTCCAAGGGAAGTGGTGCTCACTCCTACTCTGGGGGTCTTCAAAAGGAGACTGGATAATCACCTAACTGGGGTCGTTTGACCCCAGCACTC